CGCAGAAGTTGATGTTGAGGACCATGCGCATATCCTTGAAGGCACTTCTGACATCGCAGCTCTTGAGAGTAAGAGCGAAGCTAGGGGGCCCCCAACTCAGAGGATCGGGCGATCCACTGGCGACATCCCGGGGCTCGGCGCCGCGAGCCCAGCTCCAGACCTTGAAGGTGGTCTCAGTCCACTCGGTGGCCCCTGAGGAACATCAGTGATTAGCATGTTGCCTCTGGTGTCAAGAGCCTGGGGATGTGGAGCACTTACAGATACCACCGTTGGGGTTACCAAAGAGATTGTTACCCTCATCAAGTGCGCAACCAGCGTTGGTGGGCTGGCCCTCGGCCACGACATCGCAGTCAGGGTAATGGACGAAGCCAGAGCTGACATCAGTGTCAATCTTGCACACACCAGCGGTCTTCACCTCGGTATGGCCAACGACCTTGTTCTGCGGGTTCAAGTTCCATCCCTCATAGATATCAATCTCGCCATGCGTGGGCCACTGCTCACCAGTCAGCCAGAAAGCTGGCCAGGCACCGCAAACGGCCTTGGGCAAGTGAGTAAACTCGGCGATGAAGAGACCCTTGCTGTACGAGTTCAAACTCTCGATTCTGACACTCTCACGGCCATGTTCGGCCCACTTGGTGTAGTCGACACCGATGAAGACGTCGTCGGTGTTGACGGGATCGATGAGACCAAGCTGGAGGGCGTCGGCCTGGCTTTGATACCGTACATGTCCCCTGTTGGGGTCTTCGTCGTTCCCCTTGAACTCCATGAACTCGAAGTTCTCGAAAAGGTTGGATGGTGTGTACTCCTCGGAGAGGACGTACTTCTGGGTGGCAGTGACGCCAGAGGCAAGAGCCAGGGCAAAAGCGCCCAGCTTAGAGAATGATGGAGCCATGGTATTTCTCCTCTGTGAAGCAAATAAAGAATGTCGGTGGTATGATGATACTAGTAACGAATGTTGGACGTGCGATACGTCAGAGGACGAGCAAGAATGCTCTGGTGTTGCTAAGAGGCAGCTTGGATAGCTTGGCTGGAGAGAAGCATCAAGCACAGGAAAGGGACGTAAAGGGTGCTCGTGGTGGCATCACACGGCTTATAGGGGCGAAAGGCTGGCCGCCCCGTGTGCCGGGGAGGCACGGAGACTGCGAGGCTCAGCAGGCAAGGCATGGGATCGGACTCCATCATCATGCACACCTACCCCCATCACCTCCATCACCGGGAGCCTGGGCAGTGTTGTCACCGGGCCCGCCCGTCGTTTCGGCAGCGCTGACCAAGAGATGTTTATTCCCCTTTGGGACCTGTTGAGAAGGGATCCCCTGCGGGACGTTGCGGTCTCGCCAACACGGCCGGCGGCTCCATCTCTGTCTCGACGCCGTGGAGTTGCGATGGTCAATTTGGATAGGGGACAAGTTCCTCCTCTTCTCATTGGCCAACCTAACAGTGTAAGCGACATGCCTTCTGCACTTTGACCCTTTGTTTGCTTTACTTCGCCTGTTGATTGAACCACCACCACCACCACCACCACCCATCGTCTACCAACAAGCAGTTTCTTCTTGTGTGCCATTACGCACTTCGACTCCCAATGGCTCGGCCCTCGTATCGTGAACCCCTAATAATCACCCCATGACCTGTGCTCGACGGGAGGGTGTCATTCGTGTCTCGAAAAGCGCTCGAGTGTTACCGGGGAAAAGACCTTGAGTGGAGCGGTAAGCCCAGGGGGGACCCTCGAGGCCCTTGCGGAGGTTCCATTCTTGGAAACAAACAGTGGGGTCCCCAAGAGGGGCCAAGAATGCAGGAACATCGCCAGCGTCTGCGCGCGGCGGGCCCCCCCTCCTCCTTCAGGGGTAGCTAGCAAAAGGAAACAAATTCCACGACTGGCCGACGTGATGAGTTGTGAATTTTTTGTTGGCTGTGCCAGAGAGCCAGGGCCTCGTCTTGTTGATGGTTCGGTACAGCACGCATGAGCAGCCAAGCACCTGTCATCAACCACCATCCATTTCAGACCAGATGAAAAAAATTTCCGCCGCCATCTTAAACCCAAAGTCCAGAACTTTTGACGTTGTCGATAGCGGCAATCCGCAACCCACTTTTGGAGATTGATCGCTCCTCCCAGGAGAGACGTTGTTCAAAACATGAGCTTAATCAAAATCCCAACCGACCGGGTTGAAGTTCTAGATTCTGTAGAACTGTGTCGATCTTTTTGAACCCTTGAACCAGTCACTGGGGAAGCAAGCTCTGAAATCGAGTAACCAAATCGATGATCCCCTTTCCACTCCAGATAATGATCGAAAATCACTGCTATCACAAAATGCCAAAAATCAAGAAGTGGAACAAATGTCAAAAAGTGGGCGCAGTCAAAATAGTTTCCGCTCTTTCCGAACTCATCTTGAATAAGCACACCACCACCACCACAAAATGCGCTATGCAAGGCACCACAGATACGCTCGCGCCTTCCTTACACTGGCTTGCACAAGTTCATTGCAGGCGCGCGGTTTGAATTACACATCTCACCCACCTGCTGCCATCATCATCAATCGTGCCGAGATGCCGTTCGATGCTTTGGAACACACTGAATTTCCTCTCTCATCAAGAGCCCCCTTAAATGGGAATATCCAGCCTGTCAACCTTGGTTCAACAGCAAGACCACAATACCTGACCGTGTTTTCCATCTCGAAGAATCAGCCCTGAATCGATCACCCAAACACCTTCATCCCATATCCCGCATAATACAACCCACAACGTCACCCCCCCTTCACAGTCGTCCCTGAATTGCGGCACAACACCCACAGCACCACCAAATAAGCTTTCCCGTCAGCTTCACCTCCCGTCGGAAGGGTCCCCCTTATTCCCGTCTCCCTTTCTCACCAGGTACATACCACTCCGCATCACCCAACAACACATCCAACATCCGAACCCACCGAACCAATCATCCTCTCAACATGCCGCCTGCCCCCGGGTCCACGATTCTCGGCCCCTCAGGAGTAAACTCACACCTCTTCACATTCAACGGGTATCTCAGTAAATAACAAACTCGCTCCTTTTCAACCTCCTCTTCTCCGCCCGCGCCCTCTTATACCTCCGTCTAAAAAACCAGCCAATAACCACCAACCCAACCAAGCTCGGCACACCAATCGCGACTCCCACCCCAATAGCAACCGGCTTACTCACGCCGCCCCCGCCAGACGACGACTCTTTATCCCCTTTCGAGGGTTCCTTTCCCACATGTCATGTCAGCCTCACTCACTATCCATTGGTACCAAGGTAAGGTAGGTAGGTCAAATAAAACTTACAGGAGATGAACTCTCACTTGGACTCGGAGCAGGCGGGACGTAATCCCCCACACTGAAAAACGGTGACCTCGCCAACACGGGCGCTTCACCATCATCTGTCCAGGCTGATGGCTTGAGTTCGAGCTGGTACAGCCCTGACTTGATCCATCGGAGGGGGCGGGGCATGTTAGTCCAGACGTATGAGCTGCCTGTTGCTGCGGCTGGAGTTGTGAAGATGAGATATCAGCACTCGGTCAAGCCAAACACGATCATGCACAACCGCAATATATCGCTAAAAACCAAAACCATCCATATATCATTCCGTCTTGAGAACAACAGCCACGAAGAAGCCCCCTCATTTTTCGACACAGTCCTTCTCTGTCTTGATCATAATATCATATCGTCCTTCTCTTCTCTCCCAGCCATCATCCATCACGACTGCAAAGAAGGGCGTCTGACTCACCAGTGATATTAACCTTGTAAACGGTAACTTTACTCCCGCTCCAATCCTCTCCCTTATCAATCACCTGCGCGGTGATGCTCAAGGGAAAGTACTCTGGCTTCACCCCTTCCCACGTCAACCCAATGCTGCCCCCTTCTCCCAGCCCATCAAACGAGTTTGTAAACTCTGCCGGCAGGGCGGCTTGTACCCCTACTATTAGTGATAGTAGAAAGACGTAGACGACTGTGGTGATGAATATGCCACGAGTGAGGACTAGTCTGGTCAGTTTGCGTCGGAGGGTAGGTAACGATCCCATCGGTGTTGTTGTTATTGATGGCGACATTTTGTCGTCGAGTGCCATGCTGAAGTCCCTCTTGTCCCAATCGGCCCCCAACTTCCAACTTCTGTTGTTGATTCGCTGGAAACCGCGAGATGAATGCTCCCAAACGACTCCTGAGCGGTGTGATGTCGTCCAGTCTCGCTTATACGTGTCGACTTTGACGTCCCACCGCGTTCCCTCCCGACTTTTGTCCGACCCGTCTTAATTCAGCGCTTCTTTCAAGCCTGTCGCCCTTTTCCCTCTGAGTATTTCCCTGTTGTAACACGTGTGCGTCTGCCGGTGAGCGTCGCTTTTGTTGCGCCAAGAATTCACTGCTCGTTGCGCTTCGCAAACGCTGTCGCGATATCGTCGTTTTCTCAACACCCACTTCCCAAAAAATGTCAAAAGAGGAGAAAAAAGCATCAACTTAACAAACTAGAAAAAGAAGGACAAAAAAGAACACCTGGAATGCGTCCCATCAATCAACCTGCCTAATTAATCTCCACCTCAGCCAGCCAGCCCAGAAAAAAACACTGATCCAAGACATTTTTCATATAGTACCTCCTACTTCTCACTATAGCAAGTCCGGGCCTGTTCCAATTGATCCAAGATAACAACCGTCCAAAGGGATTCGCTCTCCATATTAAAAAGGTCGGTTGCGAAAAAGTACCCTGGATATTAGGGTAAATGGGGGGAACACTCGAGAGGGGAAAAGCACCCCAAGAAACAACGTTGTTGCACTCGCAACCGAGAAGAAAAACCGTTGTGCCGGCTGCCGTTTTTATCCAGCCGCAAGCCACCAAAAAAAAAAGTCGGGGTAGGCTCTCTGCTAAATCGGGGCTTTCTTTTCTCGGAACCAACACCATCGACGTTGAGATCGCAACGGTCGAGCCTGGGGGCCCGCCACTTCACTATTTCTTCGGTACCGGGCGAGCTGAAAAAACTCCCCTTATCCAGACCGTTGAACGGAGCAAGTCCGCCCCGGTGTTCGGGGGCGTTTGTTAGCGTGACCGTCTCCCGGAATGCGGAGAACCCCTGGACGGCGATCGACCTGGTATTGATCCTGGTGCTCAGCTCAGTCGGGGCAAGCCACGGCTAACCATCACCACCACCACCACCACCATCCGTCAAACTCACGTGAGAGGTGACCTGTAGTATCCGTGACAAATGCAATGTGCTCTTTCTGCACAGTCCCTCCGCCTTTTTGACCTGCCGCTGCCGTATATCATATCACAGGGCCGCCGTTCGCTGATCAGCACTTGTCTGCTGGGACGGCCTAGATGCTGACACGCAGCAAGCCCAAAGCGACGCCATCGTCATCCAACACCCAGTCGACTTGCGCCAACCCCCACATACCGCTGATGCCGAGACCATCTCCTATCCTACAGTCCAGCCCTAGGCCATGACTATCCTGATTCTGTCCATCTAGCCGCATATTCATGGGTTGCACAAATGGTCGTTTGGGTGGACTGCCGCTGAACGTCGAGCATTTGGAGGACGTGGGTGGTCGAATGCCAGTGAGGAGATCGTAAGAGGCTGATTCAGCAACCAGTTCAACCACCCAGCTCGGCGAGTCGATCACACATCATGTCGGGGGCCAAAACATGGAGGCTGAGGGCATCCCCCCTCACCTATTAAAGGGGGGGTTTGAACCCGCCCAAAGGTTATAGCACCCTCGTCTCCCTGAGCCAAAGCCACCGAATTGAGTTCCTCGTCATGCTCGCCTCATCCCCTATTCGTTCAACCAGCCGTCTCCCGTCCGGGAAATGGTATGGGAAAAGAGGCACCGACTTCACACAGACTCGCCGAGATCTTTCTCACAGCAAACCCAACTCCACCAACAACGAGTCACCTTTCACCACCAGCAGCTTATCGTCGTCAGGAACAGCCCCCTCGAATCAGAGCTCAAGCTCGTAGAGGATCAGTGGCTCGGTCTCTAGAGCACAACGATCCAAGCAGAGGTGATCGTTGGTTTGATTGAGGACGCCGGCATAGATACCCGCACCAGCCATTCAAACGAACTGGTACTTTCCCGGCCCTTGAGCACAGAACTACCACGTCGACATTATAGGCTACCCAGCCAACAACATCGACGACCGCAATGCGATCAAAGATATCTTCATCCCTCACTGTGGTCGAATGCCGGTGGTACTACTCTTGGGCGTGTATCTTGGTGTGTTGGTTTGAAATCGGCTTTCGGAGGTTTATTGTTGGATGTTGCGAACAGAACAAGCTCAGTATAGGCGGGAAAGTTCCATGTCGTTGATCAGATCAACGCAGCAAAGCTTGAACGTCTCTCGAGGAGACTAAAGCGTCCGGGGACATAATCAAAGCAAAGTGCCCCTGAAATAAAAATAAGGGTTGTCAATCTGTCAAATGCAAGGTTGTGGGGTTTCATATTTTTTGCGGTTGACAAACTGTTATTACCTGCCATGTAATAATTGTTAGCTTATTGACACCGATGAAGAATTATTGCGATGTACACTTACTTTAGAATGAAACCCTTGGTTTACCAATCTCTACTAGTAGCAGAAGTTTTACAATAGGGTCAGTCTACAGATGAGCAATGACTACAAGAAACATGACCTAAACCAGAAACATATCATCCTGCAGCATAAGCACGGGGGCTAGCTACTAGGTCTGACCGGCCATACTAGCACGGTTGGGTATTCCCGTATAATGTGGCTTACTCATGCCATTTCATCATAACACCCTGCAATATGTTGCTCAGGCCATCGACCGGCCATCAGATCTGCTTTGTTGGGTGCTGGGTTGGCTCTAGACGACCGAGATTCTGGCTGTGCCCTTATCATATACAGGCTTTCATTTGTCTGGGATCATGTTAGCCGCCTTTATTCCAAATAAAAGGAGTTTCCAGGGTGTAACAAAAGGAGGTTGACCTTGCAAAATGTTTGTTGACTCCCATTCGGTTGTCACATGATGCTCAAAGCTGACAGCAACAAACACCGGTGGTTTTCCCCTATTGAGCTAGACTCGGCCATCTTCAGGACTCTCTGACACCTGATAAGTAACGGATGGATGGCGGTGGTACGTATGAGGCAACCAAAAATCCAGCATGGTATTGCAACCTCGACGTGAGATTCTGGCTCGGGGGGCGGCGGCGAACACACTGTCCAATCCCGTCAATTATGACGGTATTCGGGCAGGCAACGATGGGTTCGGTCGCTCTTAATGATAGATGGGCAGTCGAAAGTTGCCGCCTGCGCCAGAAACGGTGTTGTCAGCATCCAGATCGTCAACACCAAGGACGAAAGCGATCCGCACTCATCTACGGAGCGGGCCAGGCCGGGCGAGCAGCTTGAAGGGCAAGGCTTCCATGAACAAGACTTGGCTGATGGCAGAAAAGGACTGCTGAGAAGCGTATTATATGTGGCAAGGCGTCAACAATCGTATTGTAAAGCCACCCGGGCTGTGTCGATCGAAATCAAGAAGAGTGCTGACAGGACTGGTATGGCGTTATTGTTGACTTTGGGAACCTTCAACGGAAGTATCAGATACATGAAGGAAATGACCGTACTTGCAAAGCAGTTCAAAAAAGTGAAAAACTTCAGTCCAGTAATCGCGTGGTCGAAGAGGGAAGTCACCGTCCACATACATGCTCTTCAGAGCTGACTGAGGAAGGAACGGCCAACGCCAACGTCATCGCTCCTTCCACAGTCAGAACCCACACTTTTTCATTCCGCACACCAAAATTGATTTGATCTTCTCCCCCTCACAGAATATACCTTGCAAACCAACGAAAAACAGAAACACAAAGTGACAGCCAATTGCCAAGTCCCAGCTGAGGTTGATACTGCATGAGGATCGCGGGATTGTTCCGATAACGGTGATTCCGTCATTGTGCTCTTCCCTTTTGGTTTACGATATACCGTCAACACCACCATTCCCTTCATGTCGCCCAAGACGTCGAAACTTCATGAGGACACAGCACTTTGCACATCGTCAACTCGCTATCTCCGTCTCCTGACCGCCTTCACTATACGACACTTACATCTCAACTCAAGGCAGCACCTTATTCAACCCCCCTCAGGGCTTCCCCTGGCCAGTTGTCCGCAATTATGGCTGTCCTATGCCATGACGATGATGACCATCACGGCCGTCATTCCATATCCAAAGCCCTACCCCAGCTTTCCAGGCTATCACTCAGCTACCTAGGATGAGGAAGCATAGCATGGCAACAAAGTAAGCCTTCTGCACCAGACACACCCAGATCGACAGGCACGATGTCATCCCCCGCCATCATCCACCCATCGAACAACTTGGTCAACCTCAAGCCCCCATCCACGGCCGCGCCCAAACTCCGTTTTGTGTCGTCGTTCGGGTGCCATCACCTCCTTTTCCCATCTCCGGTCCAACCAATCCTAAAACACCCACTCCGGAACCTTAGCGCTCACCTACCTACACACACCACCCTAACCCACCAAACGCCACACGCCCACTAGCTTCATCTTCCTCATCCGCGCCAATACCGACAATTCCGCTGACCTTCCGGCTTCCAATATCGTCCGTCATGTCTCAGACCCCGTCGAAGGCGCCTTACGCAGTAGGCATCCTTTCTTGCCAGTACAACATCTTTATACCATGTACGACCTCGGAAGGTTCCGTTGCTCAGCACCTAACCCCGATCGGACCACACACCTGCGAGCCTGAAAGGAAGAAGTTGTAGTAGGAACAAGATCTTTTCCTCTCTCATTGCTCAAACTTGCTGGCGCGAAGCAAGCCTCACTGATCCCCGGGTTTTCGCTTTCCCCTCTAAAACCATCAACAGCACACCTACCTATGACGAAAAGAACAAGCCGGTAGGTAAGAAGCACTTGATATCATGGACAGACCTCCACACAATCAGAACTCTGCCCCCTCGGTGACGAAAACTGTACACAAGACACTGCGCCTTCCTCAGGCGCGTTTAGATCCCGCCCAGCCAGTAAGATTTCTCTGCGAGTACGTGTGTACCTACCAAGCGTAAGCAGCGTATCCTGGTGAGATTCTAGTCTACATGAACCCAGTCAAGACGATATATCCTTGATAATCTGAGTCTTGGTCTGTCTAAGCCATCATGACAGGCGTCATGAACTTGATGATTTCCTGTAAGTTGGTGCGTCATAAAATCGTTTGGTTTCATGCGAGATTTGTGGCTTGTGAAGCAAATGTACGGTCCCAAGTCTGGCACCCGTGGTTTCGGCTTGTTTTCCATATTCCAGTCATTCCAAATGTTATCAAGTACCCAACCAGACATGTGACCTAGTCAACATTTCTTCTTTTGTCTTTGCTAAGCGAAGCTCCCCATTGTGGTAATATTTCCCTATTGAAGCAGTGGAATGATGACAGTTATAGAGATCATCTATCCAATCATATGAGTGAGATATCATCAATAGAATTACACATATATATATTTCCTCCGCATACTAATTTCCCGTGGTATCATCAAGCAAATGCCTCCCAATCTCCTGCCTATCGTAGCCATTTGTAGTACAGAGCAGAAACCAAAATGAAAAAGAAGGCTGAGTGAATCACGCCCGCAGTCCCCAAAGTGCATGCATGCATATGCCCCGCTCCCCCAATTCGGTGAGTCGAGCAAAGCGGGAGACTCTGTGTGCACCACTTACACGCAAGCCCAAAATGCAAAAGAGCACAACCGAGATGCCCCCCAGTCTGCGCGGGCAGAGGGAAAGTTCCGCGAGATGCCGAGCAAGGCCGTCTGTTTGAGCCCCAGCTTGGTCATGCCGTCCACCATGGCCTCTGTTTTCGGGGTAGCCTCACCCCGAAGAATCAAACCTGGAAGGTGTATTCCCCAATCTTCTTCCTCGTCGATTGGAACATGCAGCCACCCACCCTCTCCGATTCGATATCGACAGGCGCTCCTCCTATCACAGTGACGTGATTGCCGCTGATATCCAACCACAACAGGACAGCCCCGCAGCACAAGAAAGCCTGCTCTCGTCAAGCCCTCAGAACGAGCAGAAAACAGCGCATGTCTTCAGAATGTGTGTATCCTCGGTGAGAGTGTCCGGACGAATCATGCTTCGGCGGTTCCGAAGGGATGGATAGAATCCTCGAGGAGATTCGGCCGGCCCAGAAGGAATGGCCGAGTGTATTGTCTCAGTTGAGCGAATATCCTGGATTTAGATCCGGATAGACAAACAACTCCATATCCAGTCCCTCGGTTCCTGTCGCCTCCAATCCCATGCCGTGATGCGAGTTACCATATGTCAAATCGGGTTGCTGGTGGTGGTATTGCTGGTCTTCGAGCCGAGACCGTCTGAGGGAGACATATTCAGCATGGAGCGCTGCGTAGGCCTGGTTGAGAACATCGTTCCGCTGCTTGGCATCATTGAGCATCTGCTCAAGGTCCTTGATTCTCTGATCCTTCCGCTCCCGGTAAGCCCTCTGTGAAGCACGGTTCTGTGCTCGACGCCTCTGATTGCAGACAATATGTCAGTGGATATTCGGAAGCAAGGAGGGGTCAAGTCACGAGCGTGACGGTCAGTAATTGGCCGCCGCACGAGGATTTTACTTACCGACAAGACGGAGGGAGGGGCATTCTTGTAGCGGTTCTCGCGTTTTCTCTTGGCTGCTGGCTTTTGTTGTTGATCCTGCGGTCCTGACTCCTCCTCGTGTTCCGTATTTGGGTACACGCTGGCAAAGCTAGTGAGATCTGCCGTGGACGCCATGTCGTACTTGATTTGACTGTCAGCACTGTCCGTTCTATGGATGAATAAAGACTCACGGTCGAGTTGCTGGGGCTTTGTGAGCCAGAGGAGTAGTGTTCTCCGTCCCCATACACGTAATATAGTGAGTTGGAAGGTGAAGGCATGTCGAGAGCGCTTCCAAAATCTTCCATGTCGTTGTTAATGAGAAGCTTGATGTATGTCAGGATCTACAAAGCAAGAAGCAGGTGGCGAGTATGTGACTAAGACTTGACGTGGTCAAAGTGAGGATGAGTGAAGCAAGTAAGCTGCGTCTCGAGGCCAAGGCTGATGAAGACCGGGGAGCGTGTTATTATATCCAGCAAGAGCCTGATACCGGACCCAGAACGGCTGTTGACAGGAGGTCTCCACGGTGTGAGGCGAGGCCAACCCGCATGGCAGCGGCGTCGGGTTGAGGGTACATGTCGATGTAGTCGAGGCAACTCCTTCGTGTGTACAATGTATCTTGGGCTGTCAACAGGGGTCCCAAGTGGGGAGCATATGATGGAGGGGGAGCGGGGGGGGGGGGGGTTCCAGGGGTCAGTCAAGCTAGCAAAGTACTTTGTACCGCGAGCTGCATGAGATGGGACCCCAGGACGCAATCTGGAGACCGCCCTTCTGCACATGCTTCCGCATTGTAATGCGTCTGGTTTGCAGGGACTTTGCTCATAAAGTGACGGCCGGAAAGAACTGTAGACTACCTTATCCGAGTCCCCTTGGGAACAATTCTCCATAGGTCAAGTGTTGAGGTGATGTCGGGCTTAGACACACGCAATTCAGAGAACCGGTTCCTCCTGGGATTGAACCGACTAACGGTGTATTCTCGGGGCCGCCGTTCGGTATTGTGAAATCCAATTCAGCCCTACTTTCCCCATTCGGAGCGAGCTATGCTGATGGGCCAGTAGAAACTCACGATATCTCTCACCTGCAGCGCTCACAAAAGTCAGCAGATAGCGCGAAGCCCCGAGGTGTTCCATGCTTTCATAATCTTCTATCCTTGTCATGCCTGCGAGCATCGAGAATGACAGCGGCCGGGAATTCGGTGTTGTCGAGAGTGACGTCAAAATATCAGGTTTCGTTACGGATTTAACAAAGCAAATGATGAGTAAACAATACGAAATCATTTCCAACAGAGCAATATCGACAGACAGGACGTGTACGTGCCGAAAGCTGGTTAGACCCGCGCCACTGGACGGCGCTGCCCTGTAAGGCTTGGAGCAGAACACCATCTCCACTCCCCAAGGCTGCCTGCACTGAGTAATGGGACGCTGTTGAACAAGAGGGTTTCAGCCGCCAAGGTATTGCTCTAGAAACTCGCCCCGTCCGGCGCTCATGATTGGTGGAGGAAGGCGTCTCTTTGCATATTTGCAACCTTCTGTCCATCTCTGTCAGCAACATTGCAATTTTTCGCAGCGGAATAAAGGATGACAAACATGTCGTCTACTCTCTCGTGAAGCGGTAATGTGAGGCCTGGAGGCAGAAAGAAGACGAAACGGTTTCCTGTTTGGATTTCTGCTGTGGGGGATGAAACGGTGCTAGAACTAATGATTTGGTGGGATGATGGTGATGGCGGACGCGGTTATACGAGCCGCCCAGTCGTAGAAATCGCTGCCCGAGACGTCGGGTCTAGCGTCGGGCAGGGGAGACACCAACCTGATTAGGCGCCGCTGCCGACGGGATTCACCTAAAGGATTGTCGGTGTAATACGTAAGGTAGGTAGCCAGAAAACGGCGATCATTGGAATTCTTTCTTGAAGGCAACAGGTTCCATGTTGAGGTGTAAAAACAACCTGGAAGAGACGAGTATGGGGCAGCGGCCAGTGGAGCGCGGATGCCTCTGTCCGTTTCACGCGTTCCTCAATTCATCGTGGTCGAAAAGCTTAACCAAACTGCATGCTACACCTCAGTCATCCCCACCTTCCCAAGATACCCAGGCTGATTATCTTATCACGAGAGACAAGAGACAAGAGACATTGCGCCATGCTTGCTGCCATTGGTGTGCTTTCACGCCGGTCTCGTGCTTCTGCTGCGCAGGACCTGATCTATCTTCATGAACTTGAGCACGGAAAAGGCCTGCTCGATATTGCGCCCAGCGTGAGGTACGCGTCCCCTGAGCTCGACGGCAATGAGACCGGGAAGGGATTGTGGGGATTTCTGGTCAGTGGGGGCCGTCATGGCCAAAAAGACCGGCAGCTGCCGAAACACCCTCCTGAACAATATGGGCTGGATGTGGCTGGGAGCTAATCAATCAAGGTGTAGCTTGGCCGTCCACTGGCAGCACTGAAAACGTTGTTGCCTGGGATCATGTCTCTGTCGAACATACCTTGGACGATAGATGGTCTGCGTCTGTGGGGTAGATGTTGTGCTGTTGAAGATGAGATGTATCGATTTCCCAGGGTCTTTTTTCCGTCAATCCTGATCCCCCCCTTGGCCACTACCCCGGGGTTCTTGCGGGGCACTTCTTAACAGTGATTCCAAACATAGTGTTTCTAAAATGTCAACCTGGAATCAGGCCAGGCATCGAGGGAGACAATCATATTCGGCTATCGGCCTCTACGGGAGCGGGGTTGCAGAGATTTAGATACATGATCTTGCTCACTAGATATTACTATTACTGGCACCGATGCAGGTTCATGCAAGGGTGCGGTTGACCACGTTGCGTCTAGTCCCCTCCTTCCCTGCTCTCCGTTTCTTATCGTGAGGCAAAAACTAGCTTGCTTTACTCTCGCCCAGTTTGTGTCCAAGCTACGAGCTGGTGCTATGTTCAGCTAATCAGTCCGAGCAAGAAACGGCTGTACAAGAAGCAGCTTCAAGATACAATACATCGTATAGCATACGGTTGACGCAGTAGCCTTTGTGGCGTTGGTGTTCCGACAGAACCATACCTCTGGGTCCGGAGCTGACTTGGACGACACCCACAAAGCCCACGATAAAGAGCGCCAAGATTTATTAGCCAGCGGCCCGTCGAGTAATGCATGGCCGTACTGCAGCAAACAAGGCTCTGACGGGATAACCTTAACCAGATCTGATATGCAGAGATCTCGACTCGTGGAGCTTCTGTGGTTTGACTGATCCCTGGATATATCTGGGCCGGGAGAAAGAGAAAAACGTCAACGAAGCCCGCAGACATACAGGTACTCACATAGAAATACTTGGACTCGCTAAAAGGGCACCGAAAATGACCTGGGGGCCCAAATCTCGACTTTCTCTCTTGAGCGTTGGGGGCTGCCAAGACCAGTGGTGAGATTGATGGGTGTCACCCCAAGTACGGGCAGACGGCCCGCTCGCAGTTCACATCGAGGAAGTATTAGGCGCATCGCTTAGAGCACACTTTGCATGTCTGCCACTTACGCCAGGAGTAGCAAAGATGGAATCGAGGAGGTTCGGAAGAGTGGGTCTCAGTGTCCTAAAGGAAGACGACAGACGCTCGGACCAATCCATATTTAAGCTTAACCCCAAGCCAAGACTCCGCCTTTTGAGACTAATGAACCAATCAAATGGTCGCCTGACGCCCCATGTTTGGCAGGCACCCCGACAACCTTACCCCACACGCTGACCGAGGCTGACAGCTGGCTTATGGACGCTTATCAACTTCCATTGCTCTCTGCCTTGATCACATCCACACACCAGTTACATGATCAACACCATCGGAGCGCGGTTGGGGTCCACATCCGATGCCTTCTCCTTCCTCTCTCTCTAGAACATTCAAGGTTCCTCGATATGCGCTCGTGGGTGCCCAACACTTCATCCCACGTCAGATGAAGAACCTGGCATCCAGAACCCCAGAAGCTCTCCAATGACACGCTCAGAGTCTTATCCCCGTGGCCACAACAAAAGACCTGACAACGGTTTCGTCAGGTTACACAGTTGATTGACCGACAGTATGCCCGGGAACCTATCAGCAGCCACAGTTGCGACCTTCGAGCTGGCTCGGTTGGACTTCACATCGAATTCAGGTTACCTTCCCAGTGTAGGTCTTGTCTGAGCGCGGTATGTGCTTTAGAGCATGCAAAGGTCGACTTCGGACGTCCAACTCAACGCCCTTGCTGGTGTATACAGAGGTCCTCGGAACCCCCTCCGGAGCACATAGCAAGGACGGACCCTTGCCCTGCTCAAAAGCGGCACAAGTCCTCATCTGGCCAGCCTCAAGCGTCTGTTTGACATATCGCCAGCCAAAACTGTCCTCCGAAACAACCATGTAGTGCATCCAGGCCAGGCACCCGTATTTCCTGCAGACGCCCACTCTCCTCAGGGCTTCTAGAATGAAAGACACCACCTCTTTTTCTCGTCGTGGGCCTGCAATTCGGAAGTATACCTTGCGTATGCAGAAACACGAGCTGTGTTGTTAGCACTATTGAAAGAGGTTGGATCCTAATGGAGACACACACGCGGAAAGATTTCCACAAACCCCAGACGGAATAGTATCGGCAACAAGCCACCTACATTGCACACGAGACCAAATCAGCATCGTAGCTTTGCGTACAAAACATCCTGATGATCCATATTGGCAGTAACCCTGAGGGTCCGATCCCCCCCGACAGCGATGCCCTCGCCACGATGAGGACGCAATTGCAATAAACATGTCGAATTCCAATGACCATGATTGAACACGCAGAATTTCCATTTCAGTCTTGGTTATGCGCTGCAGCCCCGATTGGTCGACTCCCAAGACCACCCACCTCCCCTCCATCACGACCGACCCTAATGCAAGCCAGGCCCGTTCGCCTGCTCATTCTCCACGTGTTTTGAGAGGTTTCCCAGCAAATAGCGACGGGAGCGGTGACCTTAACAATTTTCTTCATGCAAGATTGCAACCTTTACAACCCCTGTCCCAGCCGCACCCTCCTTTCACGGGTACCTTTGCCAGCCTTGTTACTTGGGGCTGGCTGGCTGGCTGCCCGGGTTCGGTGATGTCTCGCCGCTATCCCGCAATTCCGTCGTCGTCTGCGGGAGAGGGAAGATTAGATCGTGTTGCATATCGAGACACGGGATGGACGACGCAGAAGTGGTCTGATAGTGTCGTCATTTTCTTTTGCGTGTTCTTGTTCAAGAGGTTCATATTGGTTGGTTGGGGGGAGTTTGGTGCGGTGGCGGCGGGCTGAGCCGTCGAAGTAGGGGTTATAGACTGTCGTGATGGGAGTGGACTACTACACTGTAGCAGGCCTAGGTATGCTTTGACTACCAGGTACCCTCAAGGCATTTTTTGCGAGGAGGGCTTACATGGGCCGATGCCAAGGGTTTCCATCTATTCATGCACTCTCTGATGTCCAGAGTAGTATTCATGCTGTCCAGAGTTTGGAATAAAGAATACAGCTGCAGCGGCCTCGACCGAAAAGCCTAGGTAGGTCTCATTATCAAAATGGATGATGTGATGATGGGTCACCGAGAGCCAAGCAGGTTTCGGCTACCTCTGGTTAGGTATGAATGAATGAATGAATGACATGCTGACGGCTAACCGCCCAGCCAAGAAACTCGTGGCTAACTCGCGTATAAATAACTAGATATTTCCTATTCTGGAACACAAGAAAAGTATCCAACTCCAAGCTGCGGAAAAGGATTCGTAAAGCTTAGGTCAAGATATTGTAAGCTAGGGGGGTAGGTAAGCAGATGATGTCGATGGAATACTAGAAAGCAAAACGTGGATCTCAAGCTGGGGGGAGAACGGGACAAGATCGTGTCCGAAAAAGCCGTTACAAAGCTGCGATGGAAATGCCAGAGAGAATAAAAAACAAACAGCTGATGGTCAGGCTTCATCTAGCATATCCCTATATCGGATGCGATCATCCTACAACATAGGTACTCACAACCAAGCTATCTAATCAGCTTGCTTGCTTACAACCAAAGGTGTCAACGCCATTTTCCTTACACCAGAGCTATCAACGGATAGAATGCCCAGAGCTATGTGATAACAAGCAACTAATCTAGTATAAACTCTCGTACAAGCAGCCCCTTGTCCAGCCATCCCCAAATAAATCCCCATCTCCAGACTCGCCCAGTTTTCACGACACCCCCGCCCTCACAGTATCAACCTCTCCAGCTCTACCACAAGTGGCCGATAAAAAAGCATGGAGAGCTGTGTATTGTTCGTTACAATTTCCATATATACAGAAAGGGGTATCATCATTTTCTCTTTCCTTCCACCCCCCCCCCCCCCCCACACACACATAATAATACAAAACAGCTATATCACACAAAAGTCCAGGCACTGAGCAAATCCTCACCGAAACCGAGGACAAGGACATTGGCTGCCGCTCCCTCCCTCCCGTTGAGCCTCAACCCTCTATTCAGCCCTGCGGTTCCGCCCAAAACTCGAACCAAACTGCCCAAGGCATGTAGCATCATCCACTTTCAGAGTGCCACTTCCATCAACCAGCACCCATCGTTCCACACACCCGGGCCGATCCCATATCTGCAGAATCTGCAGGGAGGTCTGTTCCTCAAGGTATATCCCATGTACCTAAGGTGGCCACTTCGTATCTTTTCCTCCTTCTCGATTAGGTCGAGCTTCCCGAGAGGGAGACCAGCAGTACCAGACTTGAGGAATGCTCGGTATTCCATATATGATTCGAGGCCTCATGAAAGATGCCATAAAGACCGAGGGCCCTCTAGATGCCCGATATGCTTGCTTACTTCAGTCAGGGGGCTCCAACCCAGCCCGTCCAATGAGATCTTGTAGCTCCTGACCAAAGGACCGAATGATCACAGCACCAGCAGCAGCAGGATATCTGCAGTATGGTCAGGGTTGAATGTCGTTATTAGCCAAGAGGTTCTTCACGTGTTGGAGACATGTTCCCTCCCTCCCTCCCTCCCTCTCCGTGTGTGTGCGGCAAGCACAACTGCCGTCCCCCCCTGACCTTCAAAAGACCCGCCTGGGCCGCTGACATAAACCAAGCAAGGCAGTAATAAAGTGGTTAGTCACCACTGCGGCAGCCCATCACCGACAACTGTCGGGCGTCCATTTACCACTTCCATTGGTCCTAAAACCAGGGAACCGACAGCAAAATCCCCAGCTCCGTCTTGGAACCTAGGATGGTCCTCTGCTCTTTGCACACCTCTGTAGCTCCCTCAAGGCAACCACCCCTACCGCCCCAGTCACAATCCCCGCCCCTTCCCCCCATAATTACTTCGCATTCGATCAGGCCTGGGCTGCTATCCGAGTTGATTATTTACCGCAATGAATAAATATACTTCTTCCCTGTTCACGATGTTCTCGTTCAGGTGTTTGCTTTAGAGTTTTGGTTTTAAAATCTGGATATTACCCATGTTGATTTTGCAACTCGCTTAGTAAAGACTAAACTAGCTTTGTTATAAGAGAAACGGGATCATGGACCAAGTCATAAGGGTTTTTATTATTCATGTTTGCCAGTATTGGAACATGTTTGGGCCGTCCGACTCCCTCAGATCCTGCGCAACGCCTATTAAATTGTCCCTGTAATACCTA